CGGCCCGAGGCCCCGGCCCGGCGGTGCCTGAGATGGCGGCTCCTGTGGCCTGGGATCATAGCGGCCGACGCGCCATTTTAGTCGGTCGGTCCCGAAAGGGTGACAGCGCCCAGGCGGGGGCTTGCGCGCCAGGCCCGGCAGCTGCTGAGGGGAGCCGGCCCCTCCCCGCGGGGACTGCTCCACAGCCGCCGAGGGACGGCGGGCCCTGCCCGGCCTGTGGCGGCCCGGGAGGCACAGCCCAGGGGTGGGCCGCTGCTGCCGTGCTATTTCCCAGAAAATGGACGTTATTTAAGGTCAGGGGAGAGGGGAAAAAACAATTAATTTCCTCAGTGTGGGTCGGCATTTTCTTCATCCAATCAGCTTGACCTATTTAATGTCTTAATTTCTCTCCCTAGAGCTTTCTCCCCGTTTCAGTAAACAACGTATTCCAGGATGCAACAAACCAGTCAATTAAAAGATGAATGGGTTGTCTGATACCTCGATGCAGACAACAAATGTATCTAGAGGCTTAATAGATAGCTAGGGTGTTAACAGAGCCGAGCGAATTGGGTCACAAATGGAAAAGTTTCGCAGATTTAACAAAGACACTGACAGACATGTGTCGTCATCCCAAAACACCAAATGCATGTGACCCCTGTGTTCAGGCTCGGGCAATGGGGAGCTGGAAGAGCAGTGAAGAGCATTTTTGTGTGGAGGGCTGCAGTGCACAGGCAGAAGTCTGGGTGAGGAGATGCCCTGCCACGGAAGCCTACTGATCCCTGCCTGGCCTTAAGCACCAAAATGGTTACCCCAAAATACTGACCTATGAAAAGGATACATCCTGGTTGCTGCTTGCTACAGCTAGAATGTATCTCCAGGTTCAGCACATCTTTGTCTGGCTTTCATTTTCAGTAATTTCCCGAGGATTTAAAGATTATTCATTTTCACAGAGATCATGAATATCCTTTCCAGCCATATGAAATGTGTAGATCAGCAGGTAGATTGTACATCGCAATAGACAGGTATTTCCATAAATTCAACAAAGTATTTTTGATGTGTGCACCACATATAGCCACTCTTGTATGGTTTTATATTCATAGAAGAATGAAGAGCAACCCTCTAGTGGTTCTGTGTCTTTAAATATACAATACTTTCAGGTCAGCTAGGATCAGGGTCTATAAAATGGTGGGTCATCTAAAAGTGTGAGGGATGCAATCGGCTGTTTCACTGCATGATAATAGTACTTTGTACTACTGTGCTTCTGGCTTCTGAGGAAAGCAAAAGTCTCTTTCAGTCTTCAGTTACACTCCAGTTAAGGGTTAGCACTCTTGTGGGGTAGAAATCATAATCACCACTTTCAGGAGTGTAACAAAGAAATGTTAAGAGGTGGCGTTAATAAGTTACATATTTGGTTCCTGGTGGCATGCAGAACCAGAGCTGATGCCTAGGATCCTGAGACAGTACAGAGGGAAAGGAAGCTTGCCAGTAGGAAACACAGGAGGATGCTTAGAAACACACCCTACCCCTAAATCTGGTGCAGTGTTTCAGAATGGTAGAGATTTTTCTTTATCTGGGATTTATAAACTAGAACCTTTTACAGTTGCTCTATAATTGCAGGTGAAGCACTTCTGCTTTATGTAATAGGCTACCATTTAGTCATGTAGTAGGAAACCTGTATCCCCTTCAACTTCAGCCTCAAGGGAGTTGCAATCCATTTTGTCCGTTTTCCAGGAGAGTATCCTTATAACCAAATTCACAGGCTCTTTCTATTAAGGCTGAGATACAGCACAGCCTTATTCAAGCTGATTGGGACAGGCAGAGCACAATTCAGATGCTAATGTAGAGGAGGAAAGACCTAGTTTCTGCCATCAACAGCATTGTATAGTCACTGGATATATTACATATGGTCAGTTCACTGGATATATTATATATGATCAGTACAATTCTGTTTCACATAAAATTTGGGGAGCCATAAGAAACAAAATTTAAGTGTTACTTCCAAACAGACTAGAGGTAGTTTAGAACATCTGTACCTTTCTTTGGCTACTTCACTAGATCTGGCCAGAGGTCATTTCAGAGGGGAGATTGTAACTCCAAATTCTTGTTTGCTTGTTCTCTGCTTTCACTGATAATCAGATTTAGTTAATTTATCTTTCTCTTAAACATAATGACTTATTCCTCATTTCACTGAGTAGTGTGGAACATGTTTCATGCTTGATTTGAATACTTAATAAAAAAGACTTGACAACTCTGGCATTCCTCTTGGAGCTATAGCATGAAGGTAACAAAGATAGCTTCCTATGTCACCTAAAATGAAAACTGTATTTTCATAGTTTATATTCCATTACTTTTGTTTGTGTTTTGGTTTTTTTTTTCAGGAGCAATGAAATTGTGATGTTTACTTACGGCTTACTGCAGGTGTTTGTCAGGCATCTTTAATCTAAAGAAAGAACCACAGAAAAGAACTGCATATTTACTAGACTGTTAACACAAGAAGAACGCGTTATAGCTGGCTACTTCACCGTTGCCCTGAACTTTCCAGTGCAGAGCTTACTGTGATTGATTTTACAGGTAGGTTTTCTATATAATATTAAACTCTTCAATCTATTGGTTGGTCACCCAGGAAGGCCACATAAAGAGACCTAGACAATGTTGTTTTCACAGAATCACAGAATAGTCTAGGTTGGAAAATACATGGAAGATCATCCAGTCCAACCATTAACCTAACACTGACAGTACCCCACTACACCATATCCCTCAGCTCTATGTCGACTCTACTGTTAAACACCTTCAGGGATGGGGACTCCGCCACCTCCCTGGGCAGCCCATTCCAACACCCAACAACCCCTTCTGGAAAGAAATGCTTCCTAATACCCAGTCTAAACCTTCCCTGGTGCAATTTGAGGCCATTCCCTCTTGTCCTATTGCTTGTTACTTGGTTAAAGAGACTCATCCCCAGCTCTCTGCAACCTCCTTTCAGGTAGCTGTAGAGGGCGATGAGATCTCCCCACAGCCTCCTTTTCTCCAGACTAAACCCCCACAGTTCCCTTAGCTGCTCGTCGTAGGACCTGTGCTCTAGACCCTGCACCAGCTCCGTTGCCCTTCTCTGGACACACTCGAGTAATTCAATGTCCTTTTTGTAGTGAGGGGCCCAAAACTGAACACAGGAATCGAGGTGTGGCCTCACCAGTGCCGAGTACAGGGGTAAGATCCCTTCCCTGTCCCTGCTGGCCACGCTATTGCTGACACAAGCCAGGATGCCATTGGCCTTCTTGGCCCCCTGGGCACACTGCTGGCTCCTGTTCAGCCGGCTGTCAATCACACCCCCAGGTCCCTCTCTGACTGACAGCTCTCCAGCCACTCCTCCCCAAGCCTGTAACGCTGCTGGGGGTTGTCGTGGCCCAAGTGCAGCCCCTGGCATTTGGCCTCATGGAAACTCCTCCAGTTGGCCTCAGCCCATGGCTCCAGCCTGTCCAGGTCTCTCTGCAGAGCCTCCCTACCCTCGAGCAGATCAACACTCCCACCCAGCTTGGTGTCATCTGCAAACTTACTGAGGGTGCACTCGATCCCCTCGTCAAGATCATCGATAAAGATGTTAAACAGGAGTGACCCCAAAACCGAGCCCTGGGGGACACCACTCGTGACCAGCCGCCAACCGGATTTAACTCCATTCACCACAACCCTTTGGGCCCGGCCATCCAGACAGTTTTTTACCCAGCAAAGCGTGTGCCCATCCAAGCCGTGAGCAGCCAGTTTTGTCAGGAGAATGCTGTGGGAAACGGTGTCAAAGGCCTTACTTACCTTACAAAGGTAAACAACATCCACAGCCTTTCCCTCATCCAATAAGCAGGTCGCTCTGTCATAGAAGGAGATCAGGTTTGTCAGGCAGGACCTGCCTTTCATAAACCCATGCTGACTGGGCCTGATCATCTGGTTGTCCTGCACGTGTTGTATGATGGTACTCAGGATGAGCTGCTCCATCAGTTTCCTGGGCACCGACGTCAAGCTGACAGACCTGTAATTTCCCGGATCATCCTTCCGACCCTTCTTATATACGGGTGTCACATTGACCAATTTCCAATCAGTCGGGACCTCCCCAGTCAGCCAGGGCTGCTGGTAAATGATGGAAAGTGGCTTGGCGAGCACCCAGCCAGCTCCTTCAGCACCCTTGGGTGTATCCCATCTGGTCCCATAGACTTGTGTGTGTCTGTGTGATGCAGCAGGTCACTGATTATCTCCTACTGGAATGAGGGGGGGGTCATTCTCCCAGTCTCTGTCTTCTGGCTGAGGAGGCTGGATTCCCTCAGTACTAGTCTTGTTATTAAAGACAGAGGCAAAGAAGGCATTAAGCACCTGAGCCTTTTCCTCATCACTTGTTACCATGTTTCCTCCTGTGTCTAGCAGGGGATGGAGGCTCTCTCTGGTCTTTCTTTTGCTGCTCACATACTTATAGAAACATTTCTTGTTGTCCTTGATTGCTGAGGCCAGATTAATTTCCAGCTGGGCTTTAGACCTCCTGATTTCCACCCTGCATAGCCTCAGAGCATCTTTGTAATCACTGTGAGTCACTAGCCCCTTCTTACAAAAGCTGTAAACTCTCATTTTCTCCCCGAGTTGCAGTCAAAGCTATGTTAGACATAGAATTTTACTAGGTTTTATAAATCAACCTTTCATTTTCAGAATTGCATGTGGAGAATTTTAGGGTTGTCACTACCGTTTGACAGAACCCTTGGTTTCTGGTTCCATATTGTAAGAACCATTTCATCCAGTTTTCAGATACAGGACTCCTGACAGTTTTTTCACACTGCGGCTAATACCTTGGTCTTGCAAACGAAAGTGTGAGTAAAGTACTTTCAGCATCAGGGCTTAAGTTAGTTAGCTTTCCACTTTGATTTCCACTGTAATTTGTACCATAAAATGTTCTCTTCTTCTGTATGCTCTGTCTAGGTTGAAGTCATTTAAATGCACCCAAACCAGAAAGTAGTTGTGCCAGTTGTGCTTTTGTAGAGTTTTGCTGTTAAGAGCACCTTATGTTTGGTAAACAAATTGGAAGTTTTATATCTATTTTGTCAAAGATTTACTCTTTAAGTTTGTTCCCATTGATATATTTATTCTATAATCTCCTGACTGCACAGAATACACAGGTTGTTCAAGAAGCATAAGCTGCAGCTTATAAATTGTCTTCTCTGTAGCTGTATGCTGTAACCAGTAGTCTTTGGAGTCAGTCTGTGTGCTCTCTGAATCATGGGTATTTTGCATTCATGGCTGGAGATGGTTAGCTGAAATAAATAAAAGTGGCACATACCCTAGCAGTGTAGATAACTCTAAAAAAAAAATAGGCAGCATGGGTTTTACTCCATTTAGGATGAGGAGAGAAGAAAACAGCTTTTCCCCTTCCAGTATGGGTAGCTTAATTAGTAGTCATTTATTCCTAAAAAGGTGTCAGCTCTAAGTGTTTTCCTGTTCAAGTACCTAGACTCTGGTTTTGCTAGGTGAGGGTCAGTTAAATTCAACTCATGCTGAATTGAACTGTATGGTTGGGCAAGGCCAAGAAAGAAATATTTACAAAAGTCTGGTGCCTGGAAAAGACCCCCTCTGGGGTACCAGGGGCAGGCTGTGATTCTGAGTGACCTGTGGAGACCTTGGAAGGAGCTGCCAATCATTGTCACAAACTATTAGCTAAGCCTGGGAAGCCTGCATTTAATGCTGAATGTTCACTAAAAAAAACTTGGATACAGTCCTAGACCTTTATGTTGAATGGAGTAAAATTAATTAACTGCAAGTTTCCAGACCAGTGGCTAAGAAAAGAGGTGATTTATGCTATTTATGGTATTCCCTAGAGTAGGAGCTGGAAGGAATGAGTGTAACCTACCATCTCTGACCTGCACCCTCAATTGGACAGTAGTTTTCATTTCATCACTCTGCCTCAAGGAAGGCTCAGTACATTGTTACAGTTTCAGCCCTTTGTTTATCTGGTGTTAGGTTTGGGGTTTTTTTTCCCCCTTAAGGGAGAGAGAATGGTTAGGTTGAAATGCTTTTCTTGCTCTCCCAACAGAACTTGTCTTTTTTGATTCATGGTACTTCAAGTTTGCACAGCATTTTTCTTACGTCAGGATAGGGAAGAACACTTTGTTATTTAAGAGATTTAATTTTAGAGAGTTCCTTATTTTGTCCTTGTTCTCACTTGCAGAGAATGCTCCCGCTCACAGATGGTGGGCCTAGCTGTATACCACTGGCCATCTAATGATACTAGTGATGCTATTTCTGACTTACTTTGTTTTGCCTGTGAAGTAATCATGGTGTCAGCAGGTGCCTGAGAATAAGCACTGAGCATCTACAGCCTGCCAGTCTTTAATCCTAAACTTCCTAGAGAGAGAAGCCATTAGCTACATGCAAGGCCTCCTCCAGATGAAAACTGTGGTACTCTCTCTATCTATGGATCTTTTATGTGTGGTTCATGCAGTAGAAATCCTTCATGTTCCATCAATGGTTGTGTTCCCCGAAACAGAAGAAATTCCTGAAAGTATTTTCTGAAAATAGAGACATAAGAAATAAATTATATCAAATGTTATAAATACCCTCTATATGGAAGTTGGAGAATATCTGTGAAATTGAATTTACTATTGTAAACAGAGACCAACCAACCTTCAAATAATGTAGTCCTCTGTCTCTACAAGCATAGCATGTCAAACCTCCTGGGCAATTGCAGCCAGTTTGGCAGAGAGGAAAAAATAAAAAATCTAGTAAATTGCTATACATTTTTTTAAACATACATCTACATATAAGAGGAAGACACTTTTAATGGTCTAAGGAGAATTATGTAGCATAAACAAAATCCTTATTAGACAGGAGAGAAGCCACATAGAGCTCAACCTATAGCATAAATCCATAGGAAACCACTTTTCACTGTTTCCATTCTCGATCAAACAGCTTGCTTGTTTGCTCTTTTCAGTACTCTCCCACCTCCTACTTCTTCAAAAAGAAAAGTCTCCTTGAAACTGCATGACATTTTGTATGGTATTCTTTTATTTTTAGTAGAAATGGCAAGAAGCATTCACTCTGAAAAAAAAATCCAGCTTGGTTTGTTATGGGATGATTAAAGTAAATTTACTATGTTAATCTGTTATTTTGACATAGATACTCACCTGCAAATTTCAAATTTTGACTGAATTCTGCTGTGTGTTAGATGTCAATGGAATAATCTGTAATTGAGGAAGAACTTCATTGCAACAGAGAATAAGTTTGATTGTATAGCTAAATTTTTCAGTTGCTGTTTTTTAAGGTGTAACAGTTTTGTCAAGAGAATGTCATTTTTGTGATTGTTGGTTTACATAGGCAGGAACATAAGTGGATTTCTATACTACTTTGAGTGACAGTTGGCAGAGTGCTTGGTACGAGCTGCTATACTGGAACAAGTGCATCAGGCAGTAATTCCTGTTAAGACAGTTCAATCAGTGAAACCATAGGATGAAGTGAATACAAAAATCCCAGGAAAGTGAAGCAAATTATCTCCCACTGGGATCTAATCTCCTTAAATGCAGTAAAAAAATTTTCAAAGTTAACAGGCATGAATAGTAAAGAGAATAAAAAGAAAAGCTAAGCCAGTCTGACAAGCTGTAGATATACATGTATTTAGACGAATGTAGTTTTCAGATTTGTTTTGCTCAGAGATGGTCCTTTATTGATTAACAACTTTTATGCACAAAGGATGCCATGGTAAGCCCTGTAGCATACTGGTGGATAAGTGTAAAGATGTTTCAGGAAGGCCTTCATGTGTCTTTTGCATCCACACAGAAGAGGGCAAATACGGAATGCTCATGCAGGCTATTAGCTGCTCAAGCTGGTAGCTTGGGAGGGGAAAGGCTGCTCCTGCTCTGTGTTCCCCCATGCAACCAGCAGTCAGACTGAGCCTGAATCCCAGCAGACACACACCCGCACACTGTGTACGTATATACATACACAAATGATGGGCCATGCAGATCAACACCAACAGAAAACAGCATAAACAGTAGCAATGGATTCATCCTGCTCCCCTCTCTGGCTGATCAGGGTGAAGCCCTTTAATAAAAAATATACATACCTCTCTCTATATACACACATATATACAGTATGGATCCATCCAGAAACTGGCCTTAGACACCCACTCTATCCAGTAACTGGTTCCTGGATTTCCTACTCTCCCCACTTGCTGTCAGCTGGATGTAAAAGCCCCCGAGGCTTTGCAGCCCCACTCCAGTTGCTGTTACTCAGACCCTCTTGTGTACATGCACACACACACCCATGCACACACAGAGAGACACACTATGGATCCTCCAGGAACTGGCTGTAGACAGTCAGTCCGTTCAGTGTCTGGCTCTGGATCCACTTGTCACCACTTGCCTTGTGCACAGACATATAAATGCAGACAAGTCTCTCAGCTGACCCACAGATTTCACAGCCTCTCCAGGAGCTGGTTTGGACTGCCAGATTCCTCCAGCAGCCGTCAGACCCTCGTCTTTCCAGTGTCTGGCCCAGACTTGTGGCTGCTTTGATATCTGGTTCCCAAGCCTCTTTATCCAATTTGCATGATAATCCAGCTTCAGTTAATGATCATACAATGACATGTGCACCCATAAAATACGCACACACTCTGGTCTTTGTGGTTACTGGCACCCCAGACGCACAGGTCACTGTGATCTGTGGTCCTCACTTCAGTTGCTGGCAATTAGACCCCCATATGCTCTGATCTCTCCTTTTCTGGCACCCCAGACACAGGGGCTCTTATGACTCGTGGTACCCTCTCCAGTTGCTAGCACTTAGACCCCTCACCCCCTCCAGTCTCTACAGTTGTCCCTGTAACCTGAGGTCCAACTCCAGTTGCAGGCATTTACAACTGGCCCCTTTTATCCCTCTATTTTTCCATGCTTGTTCCTTCCCAGACAACCTTTATCCCTCCTTTTCTCCACCTTTGATTCATACCCCAAACATCCCATAAGTCTGTTAGAATCCCAAAATGCTCTTCCCTTACATCCCACCATGATTCCCATACCTCTCTAGGCAGTAACTTCCCTCAGCCTGTAAGGTGTTCCGGGGAGGTTTTCCACTGGCTTATCCTGAGGGGCTCCACATCCTGGAGAGGCTGATCCCTCTCCCTGTGACGGCTCTGGAGAAGCTGAGGCATGTTCCTCTGATGAGGTTATTTGGGTTCCCCTGCCTGCCACTGTGCCTCTGTGCTCCTTTGTGTGCATGGAGACAAGCCTTTAATCACAAGCAAACAGATTAAGTGAGCAGACAAGCTTTTTTTCTGCCCACACAAAGCATTTCAGGAGGCGATAGTCTATCCCACCTCTTGCTGGCTGAAATGACTTCATCTTTTCATAAATGGGCAAAAGGATCCAATGTCCTGCCTCACTGGCTGGATCTGCAGGTAGTACAATTCTCCACTGCCTGTCATTCCGGTTTGGTTGCAAAACTATATCAAACCTGGTTTGCTATGACTCTGCATATTTACAATGAATTGCATTGTTTTCCCCCACATCTGTCATTTTATTGCTAGCCATTCTGTATCGTGAGGTACTTCTGTAACTCTTGCCATTCAGCTTTTGTTTTCTTCTGTCCCAAATATTTTAGCATCAGCAGCAAGCCTTGTCACTTTACTGTCCACTTTTCTCTATAAAATTGGTGATGAAGTTGAACAAAATAGCCCCTAGTATAGATCCAGATGGACATTCGGTGATGAATTTTATAATTGTGAAAAAATGTCCGTTTACCCCTACATTTTCTTTCTTGTATTTTATGCAATTATGTATCCATAATAAGATTATTCCATGGCAGTTTGGCTCTTCAAAAACCTTAGGTGAGTGGCCTTTCCAAAGGCCTTTTGAAACCCAAATGGGCTTTGTAATTTGAATTATCTGTTTTCATGTACTCCAACAAAATTCAGGGCATCTGTGAAACATGACTGGTTTCTTGCCAGGACCAGACACCACATTCTTGTAGTAAGTCTCCAGACATCTCAATAGGTTGATTCTTGCTGGGAATGAGGAAAAGCAAATTATACGCCTGGCCCCTGAGCCTCAATAATTTAATTTCTCAGACACTTAGTGTCTTTTTTTTTTTTTAAATTATTTATTAGTTTCAAAAGTCATTGAGTCTGAAGAAATGGAAAGACAGCATAACTACAAAATCTAATTTCCATAAAACAGGAAGTTTCTGATTTTTCCAGCCTTACTCATACTAGTGATACCTTGAAATTATTTCAGTTAGATTTTATTATCCAGTAAGATACTAATCAGCATAAATGAAATTGGCAGAAGGATCCATAAATTGTTTTCTTGTTCTTTTGTGTATTTGGTTTGGGTTAAAGCTTTTGATCATTCAGGGTCAGCAGAGACCATTATGCACATCCATTCATATCTGTGTAATAACAGATGCCATGATATATTACCCACTTATTCAGTGTGAAGCCTAATACATTATGGTTGTTTGAGGGTTTATCTTTTAGAAAGCTATCCAAGTGGGATGCTGAAGAATCTACCAACACATTTCAGTAAAATATTCCAGCAGTTAATTACCTTCATTTAAAATGTGCATTTTTCTTCCTGTTCAGATTTTTCTAGCTTTGTTCTTCAGCCACTGAATCTTGTTATGTTTTTGTCTGTTTAATTAAAGAAACTGGATGCAGTTCTCCTAATCTGATACCATGCATGCTTACGTTTCTGTCAATATCAAAGAAATGCCTGTACATTTGTTTCATCTTCCCCCTCACCCTAGTTGTTGGTTTAAAAGAGATTCTGTACCCCTTCTCTTGTAACAAGAACAAACACATTTTCCCAAGAAAATTCAGTCACTAGTAGGTACTTTTCTATTCCTTCTTTTTCTACCAAGAAAAAAACAAAGGAAAGAAATTCTGCCTGCTAAATAAATTCCTCTTAGTGCCACCTGTGGTTTTGCCCAGCCACAATGAGGAAAGTCACAGAGAATAAACAAACAGTCTCGCCTGTGCTAAAATCTATACAAACTCTGGCATGGCTGTCAATCATTTCTTGCCTCATGTGAAAACAAACCCCCATTTCAGCATTAGCAGTTAATGGTATTGAAATTGCTGAATAGCCAATTCAGCTCAATATTACTAGGGAATAAAAAGTAATTTGAGCAATCAGATGGATGAAAATAATTTTAAAAATGATAAAACTATCTTCATTGTTACAATTTGTTTTAGCTACTATTTTTTAGAATGTGTTTTCTAGCTTAGCTGCATTTGTCATGTTAACTGGTAATGTAGTTATGTTTAATTTCTCCTATAAACCCTTGTAGAGGGCTGTGTATAATTCTGTTTCTGTCATTAGAAATTCTGATTCATCAGTTTAGATTGTTGTTCTGAAGTCATGGTTGCTAGGAATAGTGGTTTGCCTGCTTGCCAGGAATTGAGGATTTGTTTTCTTCCCACAAGAAGAGCTTGTTGTTTACTTGTTTGTAATATGTGCTTTGTCTGCATGGCTGGTATTTGGATCCATTTGTAGTTTAGGTGTTTTTCAAGTAAAAATCCTTCATGAGTGAAGCAAGTGGCTCAACACTAAATGGGTTGAAATATCATAGTAAGGCATTATATTTAATATTTGAAATTTAATAAAGGATGGATCCCTGCCTTATGACCTTGTGTCAGAGATTGGCCATCACCCTGCAAGCACCTAGATTTGAATTCAGTCTTGCCACTCTTAGTTTTGTCCATGGACTCCCCTGTGCCTAGGGCTGGTGGAAGGCTCCTTCATCCAATTTCATTTGAAATACCTACTTTTGCACTAGGAAACTCCCCCATTTAGTATTATTCCTATTCCAGAGAGGGGGAAATCTTACTCTGTGTTAACCCGGAATTAAGCTTAATTGTTGGAAAGTACATTTTGGTAAGTGATGTCTAAAGATCACCTGAGCAGTTTGGTGTCAAAAGGAGAGCTGACTGCTCTGACTTGTTAAGCTAATGGAAGATGATGTGACAAAAGTCCTTCTTTAATTAGGGAAACCACGAAAAGAAGATCTGAGGGCAAGGGGAACAGTGATGGTTTAGGAAGATGCTCTCTTTTCCCTCACTGTCCTGACCTGTGCTCTTAAATGAAAATATAAATGGTTATATTATTTACCTGGATTGTGCTGTAGACTAGTTTTGTGCTGAAATAATAGCAAGAACAGTTCTTTCTCTGCTCTTGTCCTGAGTTCCTAACCTGTGGGGCAGGCCTTTATAGGTAAAGTAGGTTGGCTGGTTGTTGGTTGGTTGTAAGAATATAGCCCCTGGGTTGCTTGGACCCAAGGCCAGAAAAGGTTTGTTGTGGCTTTGCTTCCCCTTTGTTGAATGAAAGTGGAATTTCCCCTCATGGGGAATTTTCCCCTCATGGAAACAGAGTTAAAGGAGTTCAAACTGGGTTTGGGCTTTTTGCCTCAATCTACCATGGAGTTGGTCGCCCTGTGACAAAGTAAGGAGTTTAGTCTCTGCTTAAGGCACTGTCAGTGCCCCAGCCCATATCTATTCCCACAAAGCCTCACTGCACCCTAACAAGTTAAATTTATGCCAGCCTTAATTACAATACTGTAGTCAATATCATTTTCATGTTATCTTTTTTCTGTTGCAGGAGTCCTGAGTTTGCTCCTGTTATCTCAATGGGCAGTCCTGTTCTCTTCCACCTTTATGAGAAAAAACAACTTACATAAGGATGATGGGACTAAGTCAGAAACAAATTGAATTAAAGAGGGTTGTTGGACCTAGTGAGAATTATCCTAATGCATTTTAAATATGAATGTTATTCTATAAATGCTTTTTGTTCATGTTATTTGATTTAAAATCCTTCTTGCTCTACATTGGGTACAATTAAACAGCCAGTAATTACCATATATTATATATAACATAACTATTTAAAGTTTTGGAAACAGCTCTGTCAGGCTCAGCTGACTGGTTGCTAATGTTTTAGAGAGCAGCCTGTATGAGTATACATTGAGAGAATCTAAATGAGAGCCAAAAGGTCTAATGGAGATTTAAAAGCAAAAGTTTGATGACTAATACCATGATACATTTGGAAGTTTCTCTGTTAATCTCAGTGTCCTGACCAGAACGTGGCTTTGATTATTTATGTTCTGTTTCTTTCAAATTCCCTACTATGTTTTGTATTTGACTGTTGTAGCACTTGGCACTGCCTGTCCTAATCCATTCTGGTTGTGAGGTAGCAATTTGCATAGCACAACATTTTCCTCCAGAGGTGTAAACAGCATTTCACTGTGTAAATTGGCAGAAGAGAGGACAGTTATTCCCATGGTATGCATATAGCCCATAAATGAATCCTTCTGGATGAAAGATGCTCTGTAAGTGTAAGATCATTATCAAGACTGTTATAAAAACCTGAATGCTGCTTGGAGAGTCTTAAATATAATTCTGACATTTTCTCCTTGCTGGTAGTGCTAGTTCTTCAGTGCTTTTCCTGCTCTTCTTTAATCTTAATGTTCTGGGGTTTTACTTAAAGAGAATAAGCTGAGAATCCTGGCTCCCACAGCTAACCATTATACAGCACAAACTGATCCCAGAACATTTCCAGTAGGTGCTATTAGCTGTTATAAAACCTGTATCAATCAAAGCTGCATGCAAAGAATATACCACTAAAGTACTTTACTTAAGTTTGGCATATAATTCCTCAAGGCATGGAGTGATATTTAGGCATCATGTGTAGTGAACAGTGATACTAAATGTCCTCTGAGAATACAGGTCATTGATGTCTCAAATTATCATGATCAACAGTAAGCCAATTTCTGGCATATAGTTAAGTCTTATGGAAAGTGCTGGTGCTGCGCGCGCGCACACACACACCCCCCCACACCATCACCACCCCCCACCCCCCCACACACCCATCTTGCATATTGTCCTTCTACTAACCCATAACGTTGTCTCTTGACTCCTATTGCCCTCTTCTGCGTTCTTTTTTATTTTTATTTCAATTTTTTTGTTGTTTCCTGCCTCATACCTAAAGCTGCTGGAAACTTACTCCTTCCTGACAGCTGGAATAAAAACAAAAGATGAGTTTCACCTCAGACTCAAGCTGCCTGCCTCAAGGGCTGGAAACTCTGGGTGACTGCAGTTACATCCGTCAGTGTGAGAGACAGCAGGCTTGATGCTGCCCCATCTTTGCAAGTCTGAGCCCCTGTGCCCTCCAAATAGCCTGATAAACTTGCTGACCTTGAGAGGGGAGGGGCTCTTTAGACCAGAAGTGTGCTGTCTCCCCTTCTTACCTGCACTGGCTCAGATCTTGTAGTTTCAGCAAGATCCACTGATCTCAGTAAACGAAATGGTCTTCAGGTCCATTCCTGTTATGTCACCCATGATTTCTGCTTCCACTGTTTTTTTCCAAACCTTTGTTCAGAATTCTAGCTGGAGGCAAAACCTGACAGTCGGATAATTGTGGATATTTTGGGCTTAACACTGCTCGTTCTTTCTGCTTTTCTTTCAAGTGTTATTCATTATACAATCCTTTGTACTTTACAGTTCTTTTCTTTGAAGTTCTATATGTGATTTAGAGATTAATGCAATTGGTGTGAACCTGTTCTGGTTGAACAGATAGAAAGTTGATACTACAGTTCTACAGATAGTAACAGAATAGCATAGTTGCACAGCCTGGGACATGAACTGGTCTTTAGTCATGTGCTTTTAACAGTAGGGCTAATAGCTATGTCTCTATGACCTCTTAGGAAAGAGATGTCGTGTTTAACTTGGCTGCTGCCTTTATCTTGTATATTCTCAACTTCAAAGAGCAAAATTTAGTGTCTTCAATGGTCCTGTGGTGTTTTGTTGTAATTGTCACGGTTCTCAGTTTTCTCTGTTGTTATATAGTTCTTACGTAGGCTGTTTCTATTATGTATTTCATACCCTGAGATGGGATTGCATGTCCAAAAGCTTATTCAAATTTTTCAAAAAGCTATACCTGTCAGTCTAATAAGAGGAGTTGCATTGTCCTACAAGCTTTGTCTTGTCCCTAGCTGTAGAATTCTTTACATAGTCTGTGTTTCTTGAAGGCTGAACAGGGAGTTTCAAACTGGGCCATAAAGTTACTATTAAATATGCAATGATGGAAGACATGTTAGTAGTCAGAATCTGGCACCTGGTTTTAAGTTTCAGACTTAAGTTTTGTTGAGAGGACAAGGTAGGGCAGTTTTTCTGGTTATAAATAGAGCATCCTTTTTTCCAGTCTAGTCTCCAGTTACAGTAATTTTGGACCTTTCAGAAGCAGAAAAATTGGAAAAAAAAAAGTAAATAGCATTCTTGTTCCTGCAGACAGTAAGCTGGTGATGGATGAACCTTTAGGGATTTAAAATTCAGTCCAAATGATTATCCAGCACTTCAGATTATTATCGGATACATATATGAGCCACTCAGACCTAGAGAAATATCTTACATAGGTTTACCATGTTAAACTTAGATAGTGTGAGGACAGCTTTCTTCATTATATATCACCATTTTTATATCAGAAAAGAAATGGGAAGTAAACTGTCTGAAATTTGGCGAGTTTCTTTAGCACACTGGGCTGCAATTCAGTTTAGAGAGACTGAGAATTTATTTGAGTTATTTTGTCCTTTCCTACTAAATACATTGTCTTGGTCAAAAATTGAGAATTTAAATGCCTGACTGTGTTTATATGTGCATGTATATATGTGCTTCTGTCAATACTCACATCTATGTTATAAAAGAATGTGCAGAGACACAATTACAAGCATTTCCAGTATACTCTTTTTTCCACTTGTGCATAAAGATCATCTAAATGTTACCATTACCACCATTTTGCAGCTATTTGCAGAACACAAATTATTTCTTCTCACTTCGTCAGTGTAATTAATTCACATTGGAGAATAACATTCCATTTTTAATTTAACTAGTTCCATTTAATTCTGAGTCCTTGTTAGAATGTAGTTTAAACAATGACCGCATCTTATGAAAATATACAAGAAAATAACATCTGCTGAGCTATGTTGGCAAACACCAGGGCTAATGAATGGTTGTCAGTATCAGAACAGATGTCTGTTTACAGTTAAAAAATATTCTTTACCAGTTTAAGCAAATTCCTAAATTAATTTAACTCCTGTTTGCAGTTCTACAGAGCAATTGCTTTGCTATGATGATGCATGATGGAAATGTTGGTAGATTGAAGGGTTTCTGCTCCTCATAAGAAGTCTGACTTAAATGTGACATCTAAGTTGACTTGTGGGATCCATAAGGACAATTTGATTTGATGATGATTATCTTGTCAGTAGGAGAAAACTTTCATAATTTGCTGAATATAATAATCTACTTAGGAGTATTACAGTTCAGAATGCTGAAGGGTTTTGCTGAAGTAGAAAATGAATGTTCAAGGGAAAGAACACAAATAGTCATATCAAGTGAAATAAAATGGAAACAGCTTAAGTGCTCTCCACTCCACACATCCTATTCATAGCAATCCTCAGCCTGTAGATCTTGCATCTACCATCAGCCTGCAGACCTACCCCACTTCCTAGTGTTAACAATGTAGGTGTGGATCCTCAAAACAGTGAACAAACTGCATGCAAAGGCCATAGGCCACTCTTCCATTTGTCTCTCCTCACTGAAGAGGCATTAAATTCAGTTCCTTCCTCCTCTTGAGATAAGAAGATCAGAACTGAGCTAGCAATGCATATCTTAGGTGATTTCCTTGAATTTATAGACATTTTTAACCTTGTAACAGTGTCTCTGGCCTGTCAAGTTTCACAGCTGCATGTCCACTTTCATGCAGATGTGTGAATTAGAAAATATATTTTGACCACATTTTTTCATAATGGTGGCATTAATACTTGAATAATCTCATCATGACATACATTCTCTTTCCTCCTACACTGTTTCCCCAAAGCAGACAGCATTTAGGAAGATTAATTGATTTTTGAGAATGAGTCAGCAAATTACATGTTGTATTTTATCTTTACCATACACAGAAAATTAGTGTTACAGTGTGTCAGTAATTCATGATGACGTATAAATTGGACTGAATCCAGCACAGATCACAGAGTGGTGAACAATGCTCATTAATCATTCTAGATTTATGGACATCAGTAAGAATTAGAGAGAAATCTGTAGGTGTTATTGAGGCTTTTGCTGTTTTGTCGGGATAATCCCTAAGTATTGCACATACTTTAACAATTGAAGAGGTTAAAAATAGTGTACAAGCTCAATGCCACTTATCGTAAACAGCCTTTCACCCCCTGCGCTGTAAAAACATACTGGATTGCTGCGTTTTCCTTACTGGAAAGTGCAATCTTTAATTTTGTAGCCAAAGTTTTAGATGTATCTTACAGTTTGCTTACTTATCGTAAAGAATTCTCAGTAAGATGCTGAACCGAAACACATAATAAAATGCTTGGGTGGAAGTTTTTCCAAATGGCTTTCAGTCTTCACAAAGTTGTTTTTCCTCAACTACTTACCACTTCAGAACTATGGTTTGTGGGTTTCTTTATCCTCTGATCTTAGTCTCTAGGAAGTGTGATCCAGTGATTATCTTGTAGGAGCCACTGAACTCTGACTCCTTCTTCCTAACTAACTTCTTATTCCTTTGATGTTTCTTGTGTTCTACTGCTTCTTCATTACATCTCCCAGCCAACAGCAGGAACAAGGCAGGGGAGAGGGTACAAATGGAGACAGCTTAAGGTGCTTAGAAATAAAC